TTCCATGTTTTTATTTTTCTTTCAACAAAAACTTTATTCTTGTCACTAGTCCATAAAGGACAGATAATTGTCCTGTGGACAGATTGTCCCCGAGCTGTGGATTTCTGCAGCTCCTCCAGAGTTACCATGAGCTTCATGCTCTCGTTGTCTGACCTGTTAGTTTATTTAGGTGGATGTTCATGTGTTGGTAGGTTTAGTAGCCAGACTTTTTCCATTTTCAAATGATGGATTGAACAGAGGCAGCACGGTGGCGCAACTGGTAGAGCTGCTGCCTCTCAGTGAGCAGGTCCTTGGTTCAAACCCCGGTCCCAGGGGCCTTTCTGAGTGGAGTTTGCATGTTCTCTCCGTGCATGTGTGGGTTTTCTCCGGGTGCTCGGGTTTCCTTCCACAGACCAAAAACATGCATGTTAGGCTGATTGGTAACTCTAAATTGTCTCTAGGTGTGAGTGAGGGAGTGAATGTTTGTTTGTCTCGTTTGTCTCTATGTGTCCCTGTGATGGACTTGCGACCCGTCCAGGGTGTACCCCGCCCCTCGCACAGTGATTGCTGGACATGGGCACCAGCGACCCCCGTGACCCAAAATGGAATAAGCGGGTAAAGATAATGGATGGATGGATGGATGTATTGAACAGAGCTCTGTGAGACATTCAAAGTTTGGGATATTGTTTTATAACCTAATGTTGCTTTACACTTCTCAACAACTACAGACCCTTTCCAAAAAAAATAGAATATCATGGAAAAGTTGTTTATCTTCCATAATTCCATTCAAAAAGTTAATATTTAATAGATGATAGATTCAGGGCCCACAATTTAAATGATTTCAAGTATTTATTTGTTTATTTTTACATAATTTGGGCTTCCAGCTCATGAAACCCACGAAAACCGGATTTCAAAAAATTTGAATACTGTGAAGACATCAGTCCACACTTCTCAGTTTTTGCAGAAAAAAATTAGGATCACAACAAAATCAAAATATGATACTTTCAAAACAATATGTCAATCTTCAACACTTGGTTGTGAATCCCTTTGTCTTAATCACTGCCTCGATGCGACGTGGCATTGAGTCAATCAGCCTGTGGCATTGACTGGGAGTTATGGAAGCCCAGATTTCCTTGATGCTGTCAGCTCTTCTTTGTTGTTGGGTCTGGTGCTCCTCATTTTCCTCTTGAGAATACCTCATAG